AGGCGGCAGCGGAAGGGGAAAACGAAGGCGTGGCACTTGGGTAATCAAGCACGACAGCAGCTGCCATTAAGTTGAGGTAAAGCGAAAGCTGGAATAAAGGATCCAACCATTTTTTGGGCACCACCGGAAGGAAGGGGAAGACGGCAAAATGGGGGTTCTGCGGGGGGTAGAGGCAAAAACGAGTTTTAATTAAAATGCCAGGCATACTTTAAGGCACGTTTTGTGCTTTATGTCTTCGAGGTACTTCAGCCAGCGAAAAGAGAGCGACGAGACATTGGTACGCAAAAGAACGGCATGGAAAATCGATTAATGTGATATTTCAGGAATATTTTGGAGGCCTTTTTCCAAGGACCTCACTTTGATTTGCACAATTGCAAATATTTCGCTCTCATAAAAGGACTCTTTTTAGGAAGAAGGCAACAGCACGAAGCAAGTTGTTTCTACAGAGGAAATGGTGCAAGGATCTTGTTTGTAGATTTTCTTTCCATCTTTATGGTTAAATATATTTTCTAAACTTATAATTTCGATAGCTAATGTCAAGGATACGATTCCCCTTCAAACAAATTAAATCAACAACCCAACCTCATTGTCCTCTGTTTCATTTTTGTAACCCATGGAGGCCCAAAGCTTGTTTGCCATCAAAAAATAACTAATAACAATTGAAGCCCATGCAAACAATTATATTCCGCTAACAGACATTACCTATTTGCTGACAATTGCCAATATCAGGCATCTATCTATCAACTTGATCCCATAATGTTCAATGTGTTTACGCGATATAACATATATATGGAATGGCAACAAATTGCATATTTGGCAATAATTAATATTTGAGTGCAGCTTGTACTAATTTAAATGCATTTTGTTGCACTCGCGGCATGCATTTCGATTCCATGCCGCACACAGCAATAACAATAATAACTTAGTTTGGCTAAAAGCCTGTGCAAAACGCTAATTGAGTTGGCTCTGTCGGTGCCAGTGCCGCTGCTCTGCTGGAAAATGGGCGGAAGGATTTTCCGGCCAAATTGATGTGCGTAAAGCTGCTCATTTTTGGGAAAGCGCGAGGCTTTATTCAACTTTTGGCTAGTTTTCTATGTCCGAGAGTGCGTGAAAATGCCAAACTGCTGACTCCAAAATTTGTCACGCGCAATCAGCGTGGCAGCAACGGCGGCTCTGGTAAGTGCTGACCGGCCACGCCCACGAGATCCTGTGGATTATTCATGCCGCCACACACACACACATGGATGGGCGTGGCAACATCACACACGGTTAGCTGGTAAATCCGCACTCAACATTTTCAAGGCTTCTGCCGGCCGCCTCGTCACCAATAATGAAAAGTCTATGGGTCCGCTTTTAGTGGCCGCGTTGACAGCTGCCAAAAACATTTCTATGGCTCACTCTATATGACGCTCCTGAGCCACCATAAGCCATGCATTTAATTAAGCCGCCCCCTAAAAATATTTAATTGCCAACTGGCCAACTAAGGCCAGCATGGAAGCGTGGAAGCCATTCGCGAATAAAGTTTATAGAAGGCTTGAAAGGTGGATAATAATGGATCAAACTTGGAGCTTTAAATATCTCAAGTTGGCCAAGGGAAAAGGGTATTTGGTTAAGAAGAAAACCTTCAGTGCTTTGGTTATATTTTCACAATTATTAGACAAACCATTAAATCCTGAATACTTGCCATAATAATCAATCATGTGAATGCCATATTGGTTTCCCCTTGAACACCTCTCTCCTTTTGATTTAAACCAAAACTCATTCCAGTTCAACGCAAATTAATATTTTTAATCAAACTGTCAATTAAACCGGATGTTAAACAAGTTTTCGCACTTAACCTGTTAAATGACAGGTGAAATGAACTATCAATTGGTAAATCAACAGGCATTTCCTGTCTGGGACACCATTGCGAATGTCATGTGTCTAGCTAAAATTAAAATTAATTAATACCGCGCGATGTCGGTTCGCTTGTGCAAACATTTATCGTATATCGATTTTAATTGATTTTAAACCGAAAAATTCACCAAAATTTGCAAAAAGCATTCATTTTGGGTTGGCTTCTCTTCAGAATGTTCAATCAATACGAGAGAAATTTGATACTAGACAAAAAAAAAATATCGTATGTTGTTTGTATATCCTTCACATTAACGAGGGTCACGCACATGTCCTGGAAATTGCACATGGAAATCCAAAGGATAGCTCACAAAATTTGTCTGAATAAAATTGGTTACATATTTGCGCATGTTTGATTTTATTTGTTTCCAAATAAGTTTTGGGAAATGGAAAAGTGTTCTTTAAAAGCAGCAACAAGTGGCGGACAAATGATTATTTAGCTTAAAATTTAAATGAATATAAATACTAATGACGGCAATGTTTTGAAATGAATATTATTCAAACTCTAGAGTAATTTTATATACTTTTTAAATATATTTCATAACAAGTAAAAAAAAATACAGCATTAAAATTTGTTAAAGAAGCAAGTTAAGTTCACGTTTATATAGAAAATTGTGTTTAAATTATATATAAGATTGAAGTAATTTATTAAAAATCTATTTTTGAAGTTTAAAACGAGAATAAACTTTTCTAAGTTAAGACTGGACGATGATAGTATTTCTTAGTTTTACGATTTTGATTTGATCTCTATTCTATATTAAGTATACGCCCCCGTGGCAATAATGATGTCAAGTCTCTTCTATAATTTAAGGTTTTTTTCCAGTGCTAGCTAAACGGCTAGCAAATATTACCTGTTCCAGGTAGTACCGTCCTTCACACACCATACACACCCCACACACACCGCACACACACACCACACACCACACACACACTGTACTCCAGTTACTGGCCTCGAACACGTGGTTCTCCTTGTCGTGGCACGTGTGTACATTTTTAATTATGCGAGCGCACACAGAGCGCGCCGAGGAGCGTGAATGTCGGGCACAACTAACTTATTAAAAAGCACTCGCCCGGCAAAGCATATATTTGCCGAATAAAGCGGAAATTAAGGCAAACTATGAACACCTTTTTCCCTTTCACTATTCTTTTTCCACCCCCATTTTCCCCACTCTCAAGGTTTTTGGATGACCATCTGGTGGGAGGCCCTAGGAGTTACTCAAGGCAAGGCAATTTGCATAACCGTAGGCATAGATAGGCTGTTGCTTTTGCATCGGATTGTATTCCAGAGTCCGAGTAATAGAGAAATGTCGGGAAAACCCCATGAAATCCCCGAGTAATCCGGCTTACTTACTGACTCTGACTGATGATAACCTAAAAGTGTGCAAAGCCCAAGAAGCTGCACAAGGCGGCATCCGAGAGTCAGCGAATAAATGAACAAAAAAATCCCAGAGTAGATAGAATTGTTTTGTGAACTACTCGTAAAATTGTTACTTTCATAACTGAGTGGGAAATTGCTTAATTTGACGGTGGTGGCAAATGGAAACTTATCTATAAACGAAGTTAAGTTACCCTAAATAAAGGTTTAAATAAATCATAACTCAGCCAAAAGTGCATTTATTTCAATTCGAAAACCTTTCCTCTGTTAGTTTTTATTAGGGTAACAAAACTGCATACTCAATTTAAAATGTTAAAAAATCTACATTTTTGTAAATTTTTGAAAAATTTGACAATGTAACCCCTTATAAACTTATGAAAAAATTTTGAAAATTTGTTTTCCTCCGGATATAGCTAGTTCGACTCGGCTGTTGAAGCTGATCAAGAATATATATGATTTATAGGGTCGGAAATGATTCCTTCAAATCGATACAAGCTTCTGACTGAAATTGTAATACCCTGAAAGGGTATAAAAATCGAAAAAATTTCATGTAAAAAAAGAACACTATTTCCATATTTCCCGGACTTAAAAACAAAAATATTTAATCATATTTTGAGCTCTCAGGAATTTTTTCTAAACGATGCTTTACTTTTAGTTAGTAGTATACATAGTTTCCCCTTAAATACACTCTCTCTCTCTTAGCAACTTTCCTAGTTTTTCTGTCTTTTATGGAATCGACATGCCTTTAATACCGCTCAATCAAACCCAGACTCCCGGAACTGGCCCACCATAAATCTTATGACCAAAAAAGAAAAAAGGAAGGAATGAGGACTCTCGGGCTGGCCAAAAATTATTACATGCCTCATTTGCCAGCGCCTTGAAGAGTCTGCTTATTATATTTTGATTATTTTTGGCACGCGTGTTCCGCAGGACCAAAAGGACCTTGCCGCGTTCCCACTTCCGTTTCGAGTGCTGTAAACAAATTCGTCTGGCGGTGGTCAAGGGGGCGTTGTTGGTGGCTCATCAGTCGGGATTGGCGGGAAGCTGGGAGATAAACAGGCCAGCTGGATTTTCTTTCTGGTTTTCTTTTTTTCCAGTTGTTTTTTTTTTGCACTCTCCCTCTTTCGGTTGCATAATTTTTTCATTTTATTTTGGACTCGTTGTTGGCCCGCTTTTGTCCATAATGAGATATCTCTATTCTCCTTTGTTTCTTTTCATCATTTTTCCGCCGCACTCCGTCCATTGTGTTTTTGGTGTGTGCGTGTGTGTTTGTTGTTTTTGCATTTCGCGAAATGCCGCTGGGAAATTCGTGTAACGGTAGGAGCAAGGAAAGGAGGAAAATCTACTGGGCTCAAACGGCAATGATGGCGTCGAGGTGGTCTTATTAATTAGGACACGCGCCCTGAGTTATATATTTTTTCCCCTAATATTCACATGAAGCATCGCAGAAGGGACAGCGGTTTTTTGTTATTTAAATTCGCAGTAATTTTTTGCAGGCGAGCTCCTCTTGATTGCCAAATGTAATTTGCATGAGAATGCCCCGGCGCGAAAAAAACTACAGAAAAAATATATATAATATAAACAAAAGGGGACTACACCACCGAAATGTCAATCCCAACAAAAGAAAATAATTCCAAAAGACAATAAAAACGGTGTTCTGAAGAGAGACATTTATATACTATATATTTGTATACTTTCATTCTAGAATATTTCAAAAGAAGCTTAGCAATCCTTAGGTAACATGTCTTATTGATCTTCTCCTAGATTCTAGACGTATTTCATTCCCAAGTAGGTAGCTGGAAAACCATTCGAAATTAAGCCACAAATTTCGAGTCACTACTGAAGTACTGACCTCTCACTGTAATCCTTTTTGAGAAAAAAGAAACGTGTCAAGGCCATGTCCAGAGGGATGACCATGGGCTTTGCCCGGCTAATCAATCCGGGCGTGGTGCTCCATCCGGAGATTCAACAGAAGATAGCCGTCTTTGAGGCCATGGGGGCAGAACGATCGCAGCTGGAAGGTGACCTGGGTCGATTGCGTCGCAAACAAGAAGAAACCGAGGACAACTTGGCCGATGCTCTGGCCGAAGATGAGTTCCAATGCAATCTGCGTGGCCAGCAGTATACGGGTCCCGGCGAGGACGAGCTGCAGGACATACTCAAGAGACACCTGAGCGGCATCATTGAAAAGCTGGCGACCAAGTATGAACGCATCATCAACCTGGACAGCGATATCAGGAAGCTGAAGGGCACCATCGAAAAGGCAATTGCCACGGCCAATGAGGAATCGGCTGCCGCTGCCTCCCAGTGAAGTGATTTTTCACTCTTTTTCCCAGCCATTTCCCTTCAAATTTTCGTTTGATTTAAAGCAACTTGTGGCTTCTCCAAGGAAATGCTGACAAGTAAGTCTATCCCTCTGCGAATTCTATATATTTTATAAATACTTTCAGCAGAAAAACTAGACTGGCAGAGACAGAGACTCAAGAGAAACCAACCGCCCTTATGTATTTTTAAATTAGTTTTATTAACCAAGTGTTTTCAGAAGTAAAACAAAAAAAAACTTGGAGAAGCGAAAACTGCAGTTAGTTTAATTATTTCCAATTAGTTTTCCTGTAATACACCCTCCTCAGCTTTAAATATACTTCCTGAACTATATTTTCATAAATTTAAAACCGCAACAATCTCATTTCCTGCCGTTTTTCACACACACACACACAAGTGAGACTTTTGCAAATTTAATTGCGTATACGCACTGTGGCCTCGAAAAGCCCGGACTTACTGCAGATGCGCTCTGCTGACTCTATCGCTAAGTGCATAAATTTAAGTGTCTGGCTTTGTAAAAAGATATAGCATTGGCCAGAGATCAATATGAGAATTTATTGAATTTCCTGTGGCCGGAACAGTCACATGCACTCCACACTTGAGAACTTTATCCCAGCCGCAAATAATAATATTTAATGTTATAAATGCATAAGGAGTAATTAAATTGCCAAAACAATGCACTATTTTAATTGGGAAAAAGAGCCACAAAGTGAAAAAACATTTAAATACAGACGATATGGAAGTGCTGTTTACCTATTTGTTGTTACTTCGTCTTGGTTAAGCATTTATAGCCCGAGGTTTTCAGGAAGCAGACGAGAGATTTATTTGAACAAAGGCAGGCAATCCATTTGGCTCTCCTACTACCTTTACTTTACCTTACTTTACTCTAATTAATTAAATTGGAATGTGTTCCCCCAGCAGTATTTTGTTTGTGATAGTAGTAAGTAACCAAGGAAGGTTTTCCCCCTCTGGCCAATGCAAATTTCCCAACCAGACACGGGGCTTAACGAGAGCATTTGCATGAAGTCAATCATCTCGACTGCTTCTGGTGGTCAGTGAACCGAGGATAAGACACTTTGTGTCTGTGCCTTCAATTCACTGCGACTTGGTGACTCCTCTGATTGCCTTTCATCCCATTCAGTTGGAAAATTCGCACTAACAAAGCATTATCTATAAAATATTCGCAAAGCACAAGAAAGAGAGTGGAAAATTATTGATGCTGTGAATGGGAAAATCCGAAAAGGTAACAACGAATTTTGATTTCATTCGATTCTAAACATGTAGCATGAAATTGATCGAAATGTTTCCCACACTCTTAATCGCTTTTTAACCAGTCTTGAGCTCATCAATTACAATTCCTACAACTTTAAAAAGTTTAATCAGCATTTTTTCGAAGGTCATCTGTGGACGGCGCCTCGTTTGTCTTCATTATGATAAATTGGCGATGCGAACATATTTCATCTAAGCGCTGAAATTCAGAACGAGGCGATAATGAGATGTTATTAATATCAACTTGCGACTTATTTAGTGACAAAACTCCTTTGGGTTCCACAGGCAAATAAAGCGGCGACGAAGAGCATAAGAAAATGTTTAGAGCCCTCGGAAAACCCTTGAAGGAAAAAAGTGAGAATAAGCCGGCTCTCGTTGAGGAGCTTTCAGAAGTGTCAAGAAAACAAATGACGGTCAGTTTTTTTCCCCACCGTTGCTCTGTTGTGTGTTCCTAAGCCAACCTTGAATAAACGGAAGCCTGGGCAAGTGTTAAACTTTCTTTTCTTCTAACATCAACGTTGCCCTTTTTCCTGAAGCCCTCCTACATCCCTGGGTTCGTTTTGTAACTTGAGAACATAAAAGGGACTTTCTGGCTGTCAAGAGAAAAAAATATATCAAAATGAAGTTTATGACGAAAAATATGTATCCTGTCTTTGGATATTATTTTTAATTGCACAGCAACAGACCCAAAGGGTATTATACAGTGCTCTTTTCTGTCTCCTAATCAGCTAATAATGTTACCTATTTAAATATCTGATACTAAATATATTTGCTTGGGGGTAATTTTCTTTCAATTTGCTGGCCAAACAGAAATGGCCAAGGCATAAAATACGGCCAGACCGATAAGGTTCCCTGATAAGGAAATTTGTGTGCCAAGACGTAACAACAATGGGGGAGAAAAACCCTCGGGAACCAACACAACAGCCGTCACACACATAAATCAAATAAATGGCAACCAAAAAAATGTGGCCAATAAAAAACCAAGCAAACAAAAAAATTAGTAGTAGAAATAGTGAACGGAAGGAAGCATTTGCAAATGCCTCTAATCCAAGAACGACACAGGATCTGAACTAAACAGGCAGAAATAAATCATCACTACTTTTTATATGTACTTGATAGGTGGTATCTTTAAGTGTTATTAAATGTTCCAATAATTTAAATTTATATATTTATATTTCCCTTAAATTATTCCCAAGGCTCAAAGAGAGAGAGAGGGGGTAATCGCATGTGAATTTCTATTATACAAAATTATGGGCAATTACATGTGCCAGTAACTGAATGATAATGTGCCACGGAGGACCTTCTTCGACTCCGATTTAGCCCATTCAAGCATATTGAATTCCACTTTGCTAATTTGCGTAATTGCGCAGCACACCCATCATGGCATTATTGAATCCTGCAGGATGCAGGATGCAGGATGCGGATGCAATAAGGTGGCTTTAAGTAGGCAACACATGCACAAAGTGCCTTAAATTTCTGTATTTATTTATGCACATTCTTGTAATAATTGTACACTCACTAAATATAATAGCTTGCAGTGGTAGCATATAGAATTTATGCTAATAATTAGTCAACTAAGTGTACTTTGAGTCTTTGTAGTAAAGGCTTTTAGGGTATAAATAAAATAATAACAATAGGAATAGTAAAGTAGGAGATATTTCTGTGCTTCCTATGATACATTATTAATAAAGCTAATAATTAAGAGAGCTTGCTCCTCAGATCCCCAGACTTACCTTTACTTCTTTTTGTATTTCTTTAAAAATCTTAAATTCAATTGCCTGTCCGAATCCAATTTCCCGCTTCAAATTGATTTGAGTTGAACAACTGCATCTGCTGCCAGGTGAAAACCATTTTGTGGCTGCTCAGATTTCGTTAATGGCTTAATCCAAGCCGCATTTGCTGCATCTGTGGCAACAGTTTTCGGCAGCCAAGGGCCATTTAGTCTTGCGAACACTCTCCCCCCGGGGTCAAGTGACAACTGACAAGTGCAAGGCTGGCAGGTGGCAATTTTCCTGAATTTGCAGGTGACAGGCGACGGGCGACAGGCGACGTGACCAGCAACAAGTGGATTCTGGCCTGGTCTGCGGCCAGAGAGAGAGCCCCAGATCATTGCGGATAATTAAATATTTTATGCAGCTCGCGGAATGCGACGAGTATCCTTAACACTACATAAATGTTATGAACGTGGCGGCGTAAAAATTAAGTCATAATGCGATTTGTGGCAATCATAAAAATGGCAGCGGCAACTACATTGTGTGCGTTATTCGTTCGCTGCGCGTTCAGGGGTCAAAATCGCTTCTTGTCCCATAAAAAGAGGCGATTGCGATTGCCGGGCGTCGTAAATCGACACTTCGAGTGGCAGTAATAGGGTTCATAAAGTGCGACAACAAAATAATCAATTTGTTGCCCCAAAAAAAAAAAAAAAGAAATGTTTAATAAATTGCAACTAAGCCAGGCTCTGGCCTGCTCCTTGTTCCGGGGGCCCACGTGTCGTATGCGTCATTTGCTAAGAGTTGTGAAATTAACACGCATACGACGGCACTTAATTTGTCACTAAATGGCTTCGCCCAAGCTGCCAGTGCGTGTGTGGCATGCCTCACAGGAAAACAAGAAGGGCAATAGCCATGTGGCAAGAAAAACAGAAAAGAAACTGGAAAAAATAAATTCGGAGATATCTTACTTGAAATTGGGCAGTATTTTCTATCAAATGAAGAGTAATACTCTATGAAGGAGTCATTTGCGACCCTAGAAATCATATATATTCTTGATCAGCATGAAAAGCTTAATCAATCTAGCCATGTCCGGCAAAAATTTAATTTTTTCAAAAATTTGAAAATTTTATAAGGGGTTACATCATAAAATTGTCAAAATTTGAGAAAAAATTGAATTTCCAAATTTTTAAAAGTGCACATGCAGATTTGTTAAGCTTTTAAAAACTAGCATAGAATTGAAATCCGAAATGAAATAAGTGCATTTTAGGCTTAGTTGTGATATTTAAAAAACTGTGATTTTTTACAAAAAAGTGTCATATAAAAATATTTATTTATAGTTTCTAAAAGAACATATTTTAGGTTTTCTTAGCGATAATTCATGAAGAAGTCATTTCCGACCCTATAAATCATATATATTATTGATCAGCATTAAAAGTTGAATCGATCTAGCCATGTTCGACAAAAATTAAATTTTTTCCAAATTTTGATAATTTTATAAGGTGTTAAATCGTTAAATTGTCAAAAAATTTACAAAAAAAATAAATTTTTTAAAACTCTATATTAAGTATGTAAATATGTTAACCTAATAAAAACTAGCATAGAACTGCTTTCCGAATTAAGATTAATGCTTTTTTGGCTTAATTATGAACATTTTCATTTTGGATTTATGGAAAAAATTGTTATATGTAACTATTGATATATATCGTTCCAAAATATACGAATATTTTAAGCTTAGTTATGATCGTTTTACGATACCACCCTATAATTCAATGGTAAACTGCAGAGGTATATAGACTTTGGCTACCCAATGTAAGTTTATTGTTCTATATAATATACTTTTGTAGTAGGTTTTCTCAGTTCGTAAATCATTTCTATTTCTTCTGCTATTTTTATGAAATTTTCTCTCTGTGTAAACCGAGCAACACGTTGTGTAGCTTAAATTGAAAATTACAAAAAGCGATACAAACAAGCACGCAACACAAGGCGCCGAGCGGAGCAGAGTGGAGTTTCTTGAAGAATGCCACGATGTTGGCCCCCGGAGGAACCACAAAGGCGCGTGATGTGCGGACATCCGCTGGCGCAGTGGCGTTGTAAACGGG